ATTCCAAGTGTGCTCCCAATTCACTTTTATCTACCTGTGAGAGCCAAGTCTGATTCAGTTCTCACAGTGGAATCAGCTCTAGAGATGGTTTTAAAGCTGCAGTGGATAAATTTTCTACTAAATGGCAATTTATTGGTTTGGGTACCTGTAGTGTCCCTTAAACTACACCTTTAGTTTTATTCTCTTGCCTTAAATATACCTTTAGTGACACCAATGTTATCCCTGTTGCAAATAGTCACTGTAACGGAGCTCCCTGTACCCCGCCTGGGTACATCCGCCAAGGACCACTTCCTAGCTGGAACAGGGGAAAACCTCAGCGCTTCTCCCCCCCTCCATCCTGGAGCAGGATAGGGGACTAGCTCTATTCCCTCCCAGGGACTGGACAACACAAAGTCCTGGGAGCTTTAGTCCTTACAAAGACTATTCCTGCTGAATCCTCCACGAACTGGAACGAGGTGCTGAGCAGTGATTACATCCCTTCCCCTCCCAGTAACTAGATGACACATATTTCTGGGAGTACAACTGGTTTTATTTTGGCCACACACAGTTTTCAAGCACAGACCCCTACATGGGGTCTCATACAAAAATACAGGGCTTTTCCTCCCAAGATCCTCTGTGCCTGAGAGATAATTGCGTGAGAAAAATAACTCAATTATCTCTCAGGTACAAAAAAATCTACAATATTTAAAACACCCCAAAAATACATTTAAATACTTCAGAACCCCACGAAAGTCATATTACCGAATAGCTTGGATCTGAGTGCACACTTTGACTAAATATCACTCAGATCCCTTCGGTGGTCTTGGAACGCCATTTGAGTGAAGTTTTGACCGGTCGGCCACGAAATTGTGCCCCAAAAGAGTTCCAGAGAAAATAAGATAACAATCGGTCATCTTTTGGGGGTTCTCGCACGAACACTGATGAATCTATCCTCTGGCCGTTAGGATATGAATGTTCCCCCTGTTCGGTAGTTTATGCCTTCCGAACACCATTTTCCTAACTGTTTGGGAAGTTGGATGGGCAGTGGTACCAGTTTACTGGGCGTTTGCTGGTTTGTGTATCCGATATGAGTTCTACGCTGTCGACAACCATGTACCGCTGCCCGCGTTTGGGGGACAAGATGGCCACCAATTATTTGAACACGTGCGTTCAGTTATACGAACAGCTGCCACACAGGGGAACACATGAACTAATAACCAATAAGTGGTTAACAGCCAGGGGCAGTCGGTAATTAAAAGGTGCGAACAAGGGGACCACACAGAGTTGATTCAGTAAACGAATGGGGCCGTATGGACAGCTGAACAAAAGGGAATAAAAGTGTAGCTAGAGCACCATTTCACTACAGTCACTTAAGACAATTTATGTAAAATCTAAGTTCTTCAAAATCAAGTCTTTTAGAAGCATCTATCTAACATGCAGTGACAAATGTTCCCCCAAGTCAGTCAATCTCTCAAGCTTTAGTGATGAAGAAAATGATTGTTTTGCCAAGTAACTATTTAACAGTTGGCAAACGTGATATCCTACAATAATTAGCACTTGGCGTCGATTCTTTGCATTACAATTAACAACTGGCTGATTTCCTGATCCTTCAAAATCTATGTAATGATCAGCAGAGATTTACAGACTTTTTTTTCATTTGTATACCTCCATAGTTCTCAAAGTTCTCAGTTATCATTTGCACTTTAATCAAATTTAAAATACGAAGACAAGAATGTGGAAAATAACGATTGGTGCCTATACTAAGTACATGAACATTTACAGCCATGGGTGGCACAATCTATGGAATTTTGTGCATAAAGCTTTGTGAACTATACAGAATTTCATTAGATGACATTAGATTATATGAACAATTTCTCAGTATAAAATAGATACTATATAATTGCTTTATGTTTTTGTTTATTTTATTCTTAAAAGCAGACCACAATAAAAAAAGTTTTATTTTTTTCATTATTGTATTGCTTTTTTTTTCCTTAGTCTATGTCATTAGAGATTTATTTTAGTATTGCTCAGTAAAGGTAAAATTTGTATTCACTTTCTATCTTTGCACTAACATTCTATTTTCTTGTTGGTATATATTGCAAAACAAATTAATCCATGAGAAATTATCAACATATACCAACAAAAAAACACCATGCAGAGAAACCATTATAGTATGATAATAAAAAATGGACATATATGCAAATACTGGGCAATTTTATTTTGTTTTTATTTTGAGATACTTTGATTTCATTGATTTGATTTCTTTTGGTGTAAAATTTGAAGCAATGTCCAATACAATATAATATTTTCTCGCTTATATGTCTCTTTTTAATCTCCTTCTGCTCTTAGTAGAGTTGGAGAGAGAAAGAAGATGATTCTCACAAGAAATAATTTCAATTCAAGTAGCTGTTTCTCCTTCTTGAGACAATCCTTATATGATTTCATCAGAACAGACAGTACTTGGCTTACTTTATGAATTTCACTATATATTAATGTGTGTGTTATCTGTTTTAATGTCTTGTACATTGTGTAGTTTGTTTTTTATTTGGTTGGATTTTAGTTTACGGTAGATCTCTAACCATTTGGTCATAACTAACATGAATGTGCTTAAACTAATATATGTTTTAATAAACATTTGCAGATAACCAAGTTGGGTGTATTTTTAAGATAGCATGTCTGCTTTATGAATGGAGATGGCTTCTATGGAATGTTTCATTTGCAATATATATAAATGTGAAGTGAAAATGAAATATTTAAACATTTCAAATACTTGTTCTAAAATTGAAATTTCATTTATAATGTCTGCATACCATCATGAGAAAAGTTTTTAAAAGTTTTTTCTCTCCTTTTTTACTATCAGATGTTTCTGGAAAAAAGACTCAGTCTTCTGATCGTCTCATCAAAATTCCTTAGATCACAGATGCACACTTATTCATTAGTCAAACCCAGCAGTTTTTGGAAATAACTGCTCCATTTCTTTCTTCATGGCCTTTCTACATGTCTTCGTTCTTCTTCTACTGACTCAAGGTCAGGCTTTCCCAATCGAGTACACTTTGCTTAAGAATGCTTCCACATTAGAGGCAGCATACCTAGAAATAGGAGAATTCAGCAATACAAGTGAACAATACTCTGCACAAGCCCATCCCTTAGGTACAAGTCGTCAAATACCCCAAACAATAATTGTAGGAGTCCGAAAAGGAGGGACCAGAGCTTTACTTGAGATGTTGGACATCCATCCTAACATTGTGGTAGCTGCAACTGAAGTCCATTTCTTTGACTGGGATGAGAACTATGTGAAAGGAATTGAATGGTACAGGAGTTTAATGCCATTCTCCTATGAAAATCAAATTACCATTGAGAAGACACCAGGCTATTTTACTGCACCACAAACACCAGAAAGGATACATGAGATGAACAGTTCCATTAAGCTTCTTCTGATTCTGAGAGATCCCACTGAGAGGGTTATTTCAGACTATACCCAGGTATATTATAATAGACTGGAAAATCACAAGCCTGTGCAGGCATTTGAGGACATAGTAATTAGAAATGGTGCCCTTAATACCAAATATAAAGCCATCCAGAGAAGCTTATATGATCTGCATATGGAGAGATGGCTTAAATTTTTTACGCTGGATCAGATTCATATAGTGGATGGCAATAACTTAATCAAGAGTCCACTTACAGAATTACAGAAGGTTGAGAGATTTTTGAACCTTCCTCCAAGAATCGTATCTTCAAACTTCTATTTTAATCAGACTAAGGGATTTTACTGCATTCGAAGTGATGGGAGAGAGAGATGTTTGCATGAGTCAAAAGGTCGTCCACACCCAGTGGTCAATGAAACTGTCCTAGAACAACTTTATTTGTACTTCAGAGAACATAACAGAAAATTTTACAAAATGGTTAATCAGTCATTCGACTGGCACTGATGTTTGTGATACTGCAGGATTTAATATATTAAACAAGCTTAAAAGTGCTGTGATTTCCATTTAGACAAGAAAAAAAATGTGTTCACAACTTTTTCTAGAATTGTTGACGAACAGATTATTTGATGAAAGACATTTATGGGTCCACTTGGTTTCATGAAGTCACACTCCTGTATTAAAAAAATGACCATAACAAAGAAACACAAATTTTAGACAATTGTACATATATTAAACCAACTCATTAACTTGATCAATTTCCTTTGATACGTCTTGTGTAGTAAAAAAAAAAAAACCCGAGCATTGATATTGGCATTATCTTTGCTACAATAAAAAGGTGTCATATATGAAAACATAAAATAGATAGAAATTGTAAAAAGATTAATTTTGCACAACTATTGATTATGTTCTGTGTAATGGTGTATATTTACTAAACAGTGAATTGGGGTAAATATTTTTCAAAATGTAGGCCAGCATTGCAGAGGTGAAAAAATATCCCACCTATCTATAGCCTCAACTTAGCTATTTGGGTGTAAAATTAACAAACTCAATTTTTGATACATCACAATTCTCTGTTTAGTTAATAACCATTTTGTCTTTAAAAACTGAAAAAAATCACTAGTTTTTGTTGCATTCCTTTAAATGAATAAATGTTTTCAGTACAGATATTCTGATTAAGTAATAAAATGTGAAATAATTTTGTAAAGAATATATGTATAAAAAGGGGATCTATTGCAAAATTTTATATAATCAGATTTCAATTTAAATGCAGCTTTCTGCAGTTTAGTTAAATTCTGTTTCCTATAGGTGCCAATAGACATTAAAATAAAATGTTTTTGACTGTTTGATTCTTTGGAATAAACATCTTCGTGTTGTTCAGTTTGCAATTATTATGTCCTTGAGTCTCCAGAAGATTTTGATCTGTCATATAAGAAAAGATTATATATAACATTCCATTAATCATTGGAACCAAATATATGTGTTTTGGTAAGACCTTTTTACTCAATCCATAACTCGTGTTTTGGTAGCTTAAAAGATTTCAATAATAATAATAATAATAATAGGTTAAATGTAACTGAAATCCTCAGAAATACAGGGACTGCACTCAGAAGAAACAATCAGTCCAATATCATCAAATTGTATACTGTTGCCAGAGTTGGAAACCTTCAATCACTATGTTACAAGAAAAGAGAAGGTCCAGGCAGCTGTGATTAGTGATAAGCAGGCTCCAATCAGGAAACTGGGACAAACAACACAATGTTTTGGCCATGCTTTGTAGTCCTGGTCAAGATTTGACCAAGGCCACATTGCGTGGCCAAAATTTTGCTTTGGGCATCCCAGTTTTCCAACTAAAACCTGTTTGTCGCTCATCACGGTTGCCTGGACCTTTTATTTTCTTGTAACATAAATGCAACTCAAAGGCTTAATAAGAGCAAGCTGTAAGTATGTGATGATAGAATAATATTCTTCATCATTTTTACCAGGTATGGTAACATTTTTCAATGATTATAGAGAGGCAAAATAAGTCCCCAGAAAATATGTTTGGAAGACAATATACAGGTAAGCCTAGGGGAAAACGCACAGTGGTTATACTTACCATATACGTCAAAATACAATCTATAAAAGAGCTTTATTTCCATTAACCCCTTAAGGACTGAGCCAAATGTACACGTTGTGATCAAAACAAAACGTAAACAAAAACTTGAATTTGCGCTATATGTCTGTCCAACCGTAATTCACCTCTTTCATATTATGTACACCCACCCTTATTATATATCATTTTATTCAGGGGAAACAGGGCTTTCATTTAACATCAAATATTTAGGTACAAAACATAATTTAATATGAATAAGATATAAAAAAAATGGGAACAAATAAGACTTTTTAATAAATTTTAAGTTCTACGTGACATTTTAACTGTGAATGTCATAATACTGTTTGGTTTTACTGCAATAAAATACACATATTTGTATTCAGCGATGTCTCACGTGTAAAACGTTTTTTTCACATTGAAATTCACCAGATTGGTGACGTTGCCTTTGAGACTATATGGTAGCCCAGGAATGAGAATTACCCCCATGATGGTATACCATTTGCAAAGGTTGACAACCCAATGTATTGCAAATGGGGGTTGTCCAGTCTTTTTTAGTAGCCACATGGTCACAAACACTGGCCAAAGTTAGTGTTAATATTTGTTTGTATGTGAAAAATGCAAAAAACTAATTTAAACGCCAATTTTGGCCAGTGTTTGTGACTAAGTTACTACTAAAAAAGACTGGACATGATAATTATATATATATTTAATCAATATCATTCTACGCGTATTTTGATTATTTATATATATATATATATATATATATATATATATAACTATATATATTAATATTAAAATACACTTAGTGTATGTGTATATATGTGTATGTATGTGTATATATATATATATATATATATACTTAGATCATATATATAATAAATATATATATATATATATATATATAATCTAAGTATATATAATTAGATTTTATACTGTTTTAAACTGTTTTAATTTTTTTTCAGGCAGCAGGGGGAGTACCTGTCATTACAGGCACTCCCCACTGCTGGCATTGCTGTGGATGGCTATGCCGTCCATGTGATCGTGAGGTCCTCGCAAGGACCTCGCGATTACATGGCCCAGGGGGTCTGGAAACGATGGAGGGGGACTCCCTGGACCTGGTAAGTAGAAAGGATGGCGGGGACGTGCTTTGCCGCCCCCCGCGTTTAGATCCGGGTCCCCAAGGATGGCATAGCATGCCTGCCGTCCTTAAGAGGTTAAAGAGTATATATTGAAGTGTATAGTAACTATAACCACTGTATGCAATTCCACCTCAGCTTTGTTTGAGTCTAGAGTACCTCTGCTATAGAAAAGCTCTTCAAAAATGCAGAAAAATTAGTGCACTGTATGTAGACATATTTCACATTCTTTTAAGTAACAGAGCCCAACTAATTGGTTGAAGCTCCAGTTCAGCCAAATAATAAAGTACAGGTTCCTCTGATATCACACTATAGAGCGGGTGGTGTTGATAAAGACATTCTCTGGATATCTTGCTATCTTTAGTCACAAACCAAAATTTCAAAAGGCTTATGGTGTTTGCTTATGAAAATAAAGGTCTCAACTTCATTTTAAAAAAATGCTGTCATGCAGGTTTTCCAAAAATTGTCCTCCCTTAAAATATTTAAAACTGGGAACTTATATTAACATCATAGTGTGATAAATAACGCTAAGATAAAATTAGGTGCATGAATATATCTATTTTTTTTTTCAAATTAATTTGTATTAATTTAACATTACCTTATTCTGTAAAACCCTTATCATTTTTTAAAGTTTAGAAAATTGTTCGGCAGTAAAGAGTTTGCATTGTAGACAATGAATAATTAGATATACTGGCACAAAAGGAATAGAGAACTGTGCATGTAGAGTTATAATCCAGCATTTGAAATGCTTTTTGAACCAAGTTCTAGGTGAGATAGCCCACAATATTACGATATAAAAGAGACAATGCAGGGGAGATAATTATGGGTCTAGGCAATATATTGGAAGAGATTTACCAAAGTGATTTCAAATTGTTCTTTTATTTTCTGTCTGTAATCTATTTGCATTTATTAGAGAGTTCTAAAAATGGTCTTGAATTGAAGTATTTTGCCATTTTTATTTCTGTCCCTGTTTTGCGCCATTATTCCACCGTTACTGATTTTTCAGAGGCTATTTTTGATTCTGCATTTGCTGACTATTTTTCCTATGGTCTACTTGTGCGGCAAACTTTCTTCTATGAGGTGGTTTGTCAGAATTTGCTATTAGTGTAAAAAAATGTGCTAAAACAAATTGGCTAAAACAACCACCGGGGGCATCTGTGCCCCCACCTGTGGAGGGGGGCAAGGGCCGTGGTGGGGGCACAGGTGCTGTAGAGGGGGGCAGGGACCATGGCGGGGGCATAGGTGCTATAGAGGAAGGCAGGGGCCATGGTGGGGGCACAGGTGGGCTATAGGGGGACACAAGGGCTGTGATGGGGACACAGGAGCTTTTGTGGAGGGAACAGGAGCTTTGGGGGGCACAGGGGCTTTGGTGGGATGCACAGGGGCTGTGAGAGGGGGCAAGAGTTTTGCTGGATGGACATGGGTTGTGGTGAGGGGGACAGGGGCTGAGAGGGGGCACAGGAGCTTTGGTGGAGGCACAGGGTCTGAGAGGGGACAAGGGCTGAGAGAGGGGACAGGGGCAAGGGTTGAGAAAGGGGGCACAGGGGCTCTGGTGGGGGGCACAGGTGCTTAGTGAGGGAGGACAGGGGCTGAAGGGCGAAAGGGGCTGAAGGGAGGACAGGGGTTGAGTGAGGGGACACATGGGCTGAGAGAGGGGACAGGGGTTGTGGTGGGGGGACAGGAGCTGAGTGAGGGGGCACAGGGGCTGAGAGAGGGGACAGGGGCTCTGGTGGGGGCACAGAGGCTGAGAGGGGGACAGAGGCTGAGGGGGGAGTCAGGAAGTGTGGGGGGGCACAGGGGCTGTGGAGGAGGCATTAGGGAAACAGGGGCTGCTTAAAAAAATGAATTTGAGAAAACAAAACAAAGTGTACTCCTTACCTTGGGCCAGGCAGGAGTGGAACAGCAGCTGGAGGCAGCATACAGCAGCCTGGGAAGTCAGCCAGCCTCTTCTGATGATGTCAGGAGAGGGGGCGTGACTTCCACTGCTCTTCTCCCAGACTCCCCAGTGGTCCTGTGAGAAGAGCAGTGGAAGTCATCCCCCCTCCTCCTGACATCACTGGGAGAGGCCGGCTAACTCCACTGGCTGCAGGCTGCAGGGAAAGAGAGGTAAGTTGAAAAATCTGATTCCCCAGCCAAAGGCAGGGGATTCGGATTTTTGCGCCCCCTTTCTCTTGCACCCTAACACGGCCTCCTGTGCCCCCTTATGGAAGCGCCGGCCCTGCACTGAAATAAGAGGTCTGATTATTTTTGAAGGGTATGGTTGGGTATAAAGTATAAGATTTTCTAATTAGATTATTTTATTGATCTACACTACTCTATGACGTCCTATGGATTTTATGTGCATTGTATGTAAAACCGGTAGCAACGGTAAAATAAAAAAAATTATGTTTCTATGTTAATAAAAGAATGAAAAATGTTGGCAATATAATAGCTGCAATTGTTAAAAAAAAAAAAAAAATAGACTCAGACAGTTTTCAACATGCCACTTATTCACGTTGACATAATTCAAATTAAAGGTCATATTTAGAGTTACAATTGGCATAATTTAAACTGAAAGATGCATGACAACATACAGTGCATTAAAAGCTGTAATGCACAGTGTTCCTGATAATATGCACCTAATCTCGGGGCAGCAACGGACCATACCCATCCCAACCTATTTAGAATTAATACAGAGTTACAGCTTTCTTCTTTACATAGTTACATAGTTACATAGTTTTATAGGCATATAGGCTGAAAAGAGACTTACGTCCATCAAGTTCAGTATTCCTCACATTTGTTTTTTGCTGTTGATCCAAAAGAAGGCAAAAAAAAAAACAGTTTAACCCCTTAAGGACACATGACATGTGTGACATGTCATGGTTCCCTTTTATTCCAGAAGTTTGGTCCTTAAGGGGTTAAAGCATTTCCAATTATGCATCTAGTTTGAACATCTGTACGGACTCTAATAAAACCACTTCTTCAGGCAGAGAATTCAACATCCTTATTTATCTTACGGTAAAAAAACCCAATTTTTTTGCCTTAGACGAATTCTTCTGTCTTCCAGTCTAAACGCATGATCTCGTGTCTGGTTTGTGAATAGATTTCCACACAATATTTTGTATTGGCCCCGGATATATTTGCATAATGCTATTATATCCCCTCTGAGGCAACGTTTTTCTAAGAGGTTTAAATTTGTTAACCTTTCTTTATAGCTGAAATGTTCCGTTCCTTTTATTAATTTTGTAGCCCGCCTCTGCACTCGTTCTAGTGCCATAATATCCTTCTTTAGAACAGGTGCCCAAAATCGCACATTATATTCCAGATGTGGTTTTACCAATGATTTATAAAGAGGCAAGATTATATTCTCATCCCAAGACTTAATGCCCTTTTTCATGCATGACAATACCTTACTTAATTACCTTTCTTAATACTAATATGCATGAAGAGGAGCTGGGGAGATAAGTGTGATTCCCCCTCCCATCACCTCACCTCTTTCAGGGAAAAGGGGGAGGTCCTGAATTAAGGCTCCATCTGTAAACAGTAGTCAATGATGGCTGGTTGGAGCAGGGGTCATGTCACTGTTATAGACCTAGAACTCTTAGGTTCAAATCCCAGTCAGACCACCATACCAGTAAGTGTCCTTTGGCAAGACATCTAATGATGTATATCTGTCTCAGATTCTCTTCAATTAATTTTTATAACATTTTTCAAAAAAACATTTTAAAATGGAAAAACAACAGTGGGGGAGGGGACAAGGATAAAAAAGGGAAAGTTGAGCAAACAATTTCTCCATTCACAAACGTAAGCACATACGGGAACACAGGACATTTCTAGCAATCGTGAATTTTAACAAGAAACAGTAAATATATAAGTAT